CTCCAATCCAGGACCCCTTGGGGGATGTCCGACTGCCGGTTTAGGCCCGATCCCAGCAGTTGGACATCCCTCTTGCAATCCAGGACTGCTGACTTCTGCCCGCTGACTCCTAACCACTCGTCTGCCTGCTTGCCTGACATCCCTAACTACCTCTGTCTGCCAGCCTGATCGCCCCCTAACTGCTCCCCTGCCCACCTGATTGCCCCTAACTGCCCTCCCGATCGCCCCTAACTGCCCTCCCCTGGCGGCCTGATCACCCCCTAACTGCCCTCCCCTGCCGGCCTGATTGTTCCTAACTGGTTCTGCCTCGGCCCCCACCACCATGGCTTTATCCAGAAGGACACCCGGAAGGATGTCCAGAAGATGTCTGGTCTAATTAGCATATTACCCTTTTATTAGTGTAGATTTTTATTAGTTTATTCTATGATTTGTTATGCATAATTTAGCATCTTTTGTACTATACTTTCGCTTTTCTATTTCTTGCTCTATTTTTAATTAAAAAAAATATTTTTTAAATGATTTTTTAGAGAGAAAGGGAGAGAGTGAGAGAGAGAAACATTGATTGGCTGCCTCCTGCACTCCCCTTACTGGGGATCCAGCCTGCAACCCCAGCATGTGCCCCAACTAGGAATCAAACTAGGGACCTTTTGGTGCATGGGTTGATGCTCAACCAACTGAGCACCACTGGGCTCTAGTTCTATTTTTTAAGCTAGTAATGTATATCTTTTTAGCAATTTCCTAAGCTTCCTTTTTAAAATTTATTTATCTTGTTGAAAATATTACAGATATCCCTCCCTTAGACCCCTTCACCCCATACTCACCCTTCCCAGGCCTTCACCACACTATTATCTGTGTCCATGGGCTATGCATATATGCATATAAGTTCTCTGGTTAATCTCTCCTCACCAAAGCTTCTTTTTTTTAAAAAAAATTTACTTTTATTGTTGACATTATTAGAGATAGACCTCATTTTCTCTCCCATTTGTTCCTTTCCACCTAGACCCCGTTCTCCTCTACCTTTGGCCCTAACCGCTTTTTGTCAGTGTCCAGGGGTTATGCATATCTGTTCTCTGGCGATTCTTTTCACCTTCTTTCATCTCGCCCACCACACCCACCTCCCCTCTGACATTTGTCAGAATACCATGTATCCATGACTCTGATTCTGTTTTGTTCATCAGCTTATTTTGTTCTTTAGATTCCACATATAAGTGAGATCATATGGTATTTGCTTTCTCTGACTGGTTTATTTCACTTAGCATTATAATCTCCAGGTCCATTCATGCTGTTACACAAGGTAAGTGTTTCTTCCTTTTTACAGCTGCATAGTATTCCATCGCGTGAATGTACCATACTTTTTTTATCCACTCACCTCCTACCAATGGACATTTGGGCAGTTTCCAGATCTTGCTTATTGTAAATAACACTGATGTGAACATAGGGGTGCATATGTTCCTTCTGATTGGAGTTTCAGGATTCTTAGGATATAGTCCCAGCAATGGGACTGCTGGATCAAAAGGCAGTTCCATTTTTTAAATTTTTTGAGGAAACTCCATACTGTTTTCTATAGTGGCTGCACCAGTCTGCATTGCCACCAATTGTGCACTAGGATTCCCTTTTCTCCACACCTCACCTGCATTTGTTGTTTGTTGATTTGTTGATGGTAGTCATGTAGGTAGGTGTGAAATGATATCTTGTGGTTTTAATTTGAGTCACTCTCTGACGGTTAGTCATGTTGAGCACCTTTTCATGTGTCTTTGGCCATCTGTGTGTCCTTTTTGGAGAATATGAGAAAACTTAAGTTCAGAGACTGACCAACCCAGTATCATACAGAATCTAGAACAGGGGTGGGCAAACTTTTTGACTGGAGGGCCACAATGGGTTCTTAAACTGGACTGGAGGGCCGGAACAAAAGCGTGGATGGAGTGTTTGTGTGAACTAATATAAATTCAAAGTAAACATTATTACATAAAAGGGTACGGTCTTTTTTTTTTTTTTTTTTTTTAGTTTTATTCATTTCAAACAGGCCAGATCTGGCCCGCGGGCCGTAGTTTGCCCATGGCTGATCTAGAATCTGGACCTTTGACTCCAGGTTTAGTGCATTTGGTAGTTACTTTACTAGGTATTATATACTGTAATATTCTAGCTGTGTCTTTCTAATGCATTTCTAATAAGTTGAAATGTTTCCTGCATCTTGGTAAACTGTTTTATATTGTTAGAATTCATTTTCTTTTTTAAAAAAAATATATTTTATTGATTTTTTACAGAGAGGAAGGGAGAGGGATAGAGAGTTAGAAACATCTATCAGCTGCCTCCTGCATACTCCCCACCGGACATGCACCTGCAACCAGGGCACATGCCCTTGACCAGAATCGAACCCGGGACCCCTGAGACCACAGGCCGACACTCTATCCACTGAGCCAAACTGGCCAGAGCTTAAGAGAGAGCAGTTATAAAATAAGTACTACTCTATAATATTTAATATCATTTTGGTTAACTGTTATGACATGATGGGAAGAGCACTGAATTGGGAGCTATGAGACTGGGTACTTGTCCATTCTGTTTCTATAAATTCAGGTAAATCATTTTGCTTCAATTTGTTTATTTTTCACCTCAATATGTTCTGTCTTTGCCCTTTCCTTTGAGACTTCATGTTTCTGCCTATAGATCTTAGTAATGCTTGCTGTTATCTTGTTTGTTTTTTAAAATAGCATTTCATAGCTGATCTGCTCAACTTACAATCTGTTTCTGTTTCTTAATCTTTTCTCATTTTTATTTGGACTAATTAATTTTGATTCTGGTGCATTATTTAGCTTAACTTCTGTAGATATTTCACTATTCAAATATATGGTAGTGGAAAAGATTTTATTGTGATATTACTATGTTAATTTTCACAGAACAATAACTCAAATTATTAGCTATTTTCCCTTCACTGACTCAGTTAAGCCAGGGAAAACAATGAAGGTTGAAACATTTGATAGTAGGTTTTCTGTCTTCAAGTCTTTTTTACACCACTTTTTGTTTGTTTGTATTAAATTTCATACTATAGTTGGGTGCTGTCTTGGGTTTTGTTGATGAGGAAAATAGTACCTTCTGCCTCAACTCTGTAATAAGTAGAAACAACTAATGAATTGGGCTCACTTGGAGGCTCCAGTTTAAAATTGTACTGTCCTCCTGGTCTGTGGCTCAGTGCTTAGAACATCAGCCTTTGCACTGAAGAGTCACAGGTTTGAATTTTGATCAAGGACACACCTGGATTGCAGGTTCGATCCCCAGCCCTGGTTGGGACAAATGCTGGAGGAGCTGATTGATGTGTCTCTCTCACATTGATGTTTCTCTCTCTCTCTCCCCCCGTCTCACATTCTCTCTCCTCCTCTACCTACTCCTTCCCCCCCTTCCACTCTTTCTAAAAAATCAATGTAAAAAATATCCTCGGGTGAAGATTAACAAAAACATAAAAAATATTATACTGGGCCTTAAAGAGAGCCCAATAAAGGGAGTCTGGTCTCCAAAACAAAGTCAATCTTGAATATGAATCTGGAAAAATTACTCTGAACTTTATATAAGCACAGTTCTCTGTTAAGCAGGTAGTCTCTTATTTAATTTAGAGACTGAAACATTGGTTCCTTAGCAAAGTAAATTATTTATATTAAATAATTTCTTTGTTCTACTGTACTTGCTATATTCTTATAACACACCTTTTGAGGGGCCATTTTTTAGGGGGATAATTAAGTACATTCTGCTCATATATTATCCATCTTAATTTTATCAGTAGGTCACTAAATAACACTAGCTTTGGAATTCCTCTCATAGTTAATCCTGAACCATTCAGTATTCCTCTGACCATTTGTGAAAAAACATTTTTTAAAAATTCTTTATTGTTTAAAGTATTACATATAGTATTACATAAGTCTCCTTTTTTCCCCATTGACCTCTCCCCGGCCACCCCCATCCTCCAGCACATGCCCTCACCTCCCCCTAGTGTCTGTGTCCATTGGTTATGCTTATATGCATGCATACAAGACCTTTAATTTATTCCCCCCACCCCCTCCCCCATCATCCCTTTGCATCTGAAGTGACAGTCTGTTCCATGCTTCTATGTCTCTGGCTCTATTTTTGTTTTTCAGTTTATGTTGTTCATTAAATTTGAAGAACATTTTTTGAGACATTTCATTTGGTAGAAATAGTCTCTTCTGTTTTTCTTATTTTAGAAACTTTAATTTTACATATTAGGATTGAGGACATACAGAGCTTATCATGGGTTCTCAAGATAACCAAGAGCTTATTGAATTCTTAACCTGTTGTTTAAAAGTCTATTTACAAGGTTAGGAGAATTACATCATTAGAATGTTGCAACAGAACACTTAATATTGGCATTTTATTCAGGTCTGGATTGTCCTTTGCAGGATGTTTAACATCTGTGGTCCCTACTCATTACATGTGAGTACTGTCTCCCAGACATGAAAGACAAAGAAATGCCCTCTGATATTTTTTAATAACCTATCTATCTGGCAGTGGTACTACTGTGTTTCAGAATTATAGCTCAGATCAATATTGTATGGTCAGCATATTACTATTAAGTTTTAGGTACTTAGGTCTGCTCACATCAAAATTGTATTTTTAGATTCTGTCAAGATATTTTATTACCTTTGTAGTTTTTCTAATTTTACATTTCACCCTTCTCATTGTTATTCACAATTGTGTTTTTCAATGATGACATACATAGTAAAATCTTAAATTTATAATATAAAGCAATTGCTCAACTTTAGTTATGGTTTACTTATAAGTATATATGATATCTTACCAATAATTGAGTTTCTGGCATATCAAAACTAGTTATAGTATTAGAAAATTAAACTATCAGTTATAAAATTAGATACAGTATTCTATTTCCTTCTGTATAATTGAGTTATTCTAACATATTCTATTAGCCTGTAACAACTATGAACTTTTCCTATAATAATAGACCAAAAGCAGTTGTTTAAAACATTAAATAAGATATGAATTACAAAGGCTACATTTCAGAAAAGTACTCTCATGTATATGTCTGAACTTCTCTTATACTGGGTAGATCTTAAAAATACAGAAAAGTATATTATCAGAGTTTTTAATATATGCTCTCTACTTTTTTTTAACTGATAAATTTGCAGTGTGGAGTCTTCTATGCTTAATTCAAGTTTGACATACTACATTGGACCAATTTGCATATGACAAATCTTCGCTAAGGCAGGATATTAATTTACTATTTGTTCAAAACTATAACATGTATACTATTATTATTATTATACAGAGTGCTGAGTCTTATCTTTTCTACTTTCTAGAAATAGTGATATAGTCCTTCGGACTCATCTCTAAAAGTAGAGGTATCTTAAGAAAATACATTAATTATTCATTATTCATTAGCTGTTTCCTTTTTTATTCAGTTTTCTGTGTAGAAAAGGTAGTAAGTAAGTTTTGACTATCATAAAGATTCTCAATCCCTTGCTGGTTAAAATCTGCGTGTACCCCAGTCTTTCAGTTTATTTTTCTGTGAAGCACATTTTCATCTCAGCTTCCTAAATTATATCATAACGGTAATTCAAATTTATGTTTTGCTGCCATATACTTTCTGATTTTAAAAGGAACAAGACAGCAGTTGTATCATGCCATTTGTGCAGATCTATTTTTCATTGCTTTTTATTATATGCTTTATTAGGGATTGTAAATATTAGGTTTATATATATATATATATTTATTTATTTTCTTTAAAATATTTTTTTTATTGATTTCAGAGAGGAATGGGGAGGGAGAGAGAGATAGAAACATCAGTGAAGAGAGAGAATCATTGATCAGCTTCCTCCTGCACATCCCCCAATGGGGATCAAGCCCACAACCGGGCATGTGCCCTGACTGGGAATCAAACCATGACCTCCTGGTTTATAGGTTGATGCTCAACCACTGAGTGGCCGGCTTAAATATTAGGTTTTTAAAAATGATTTAATGACTTGGTTCTAACTTTGCATACACAGCTAATTTGAAGTAATTTGATCAGTTATCAGAATCCATTTGATTGTATTTTAACAAAAATTCAAATAGAGAAACCCTTTAAATGTGAATATAAACTAAAGAACTTCTCACTAAAAATCTTCAATAGTTAGGAGAACTATGGTTTTTTCAGCACAATGTAAATAAAGACATGGATTGGCCAGCCAGTTTCAGAATTTCATGTTCTTTTTCTAATTTCTTATGTTAACTGTCTTAGATGTGAAAGCACTTTCATTTTGGAATTAAACTCTGAAGTTCAGGAACTATTAATGAACTATAAAACGACTTAATAGGTATCAGTAAAAATATGGGTTTCCTTTTAAAATTTGAAAGTGTTCTCAAGATACATTGGAAAATCATAATTTAAGTTTTTGAATTTTGAAAAATGTTTTAAACATGCCAAAAGGTTGCAAGAGTACTACAATGAATATCCGATAATTAACATTCTGCCACTTTTGCTCTCCTTCCCTACCCTCCCTCCTCCCTTTGTTATGCTTTTTTACCTGTTTTGCATAATTCTGTTTAGCTTTATTGAGGTATAATTAACAAAATTGTAAGATATTTGAAGTGTTCATTATCCTGATTTGCTATTTGTATACATTATGAAACCTTATTCATCTTATAATTGAAAGTTTATACCTTTTACCAAAGGCAACCGTAGTTCTTTAAAAAATAAATTGTATCTTGTCGCTCAGGATAGATAGTGAATCACGTACATACTCCTGTGCATCACTGCTTTTATTTGTAGAAGTGAGTTTCTTAGAATCTACTTAAGAATATTTTATTCAACTTTTGTGAACTTAAAAGTTTTCTTTGTAAAAGATAAAAGGTATAGGTTTTGACTCTGTAAATAGTGATATATTCAAATTTAACAGAAACGAAAGTATTTGTTTTGTTAAATTATTGGGAGCAAAAAAAATAAAATAAAAAAAAATTATTGGGAGCAAAAATCTGGGGACCTTTTGGTTATAAAGAGGAAATATTTATAAGGGGTTTGTACTCAATCCTGGGAGTTTCTTCATTAAAGCTTTTATTTGAAATGACTTCCTAATTGTGGACCAAAGAAACTTTTGAGTATTTGATATATGTGGGTACCAGTTGTATTTTGGACTCAAAATATAAAATGTCTTAATTTAATATAGCACATATTAGAAAGTTATTTTTGGGTGAAATAGGTATTAATTTAGCCATCTTTTGCTCTGAATTAGGAAGCTCTGGAGGAATATGTGAAAAAAGTAAGCTCTATTCAGATGGTAAGAAGAAGTCCTTAAACACTGGAATTATTACTGTTCAGAACTATGGATCTCATGTACCTCCCAAAGTCTCTCACATTACTTTTGCTCATGAAGTTGGACATAACTTTGGATCTCCAGTAAGTATTGCATAATTACTACATTTTAAATAAAATAATAAAAGTTATTAACCTACCTTTTATGTCAGTGATTTGTTTGTTTACAATGAAATTAAGTATGTATGAATGCTTTTATGTCAGAACAGTCATGTACTTGAGCATATAGAAGGCAAGGAAAGTAAAATATTTGTGATTAAAATAAGAAAAGTCAACCTAACAAAGCCAGAATTCTATATAGGTAAGGGATTTTGTCTTTTCATTCACTTCTATGTATCCTGGCCCTAGAATAGTGCCTGTTACATAATTTATTCAAATATTCATTGAATGAGAATAATTTTTAATTATTTAAAATATATTTTGAATGTTAGGAAATTGTGGAGTAGGTGTTTTGCTTGGTTTCTGTTAAAGTATTATTGGGGCTTACTAGATTTGTCTTTCTCTACTGTGGAATGAGATTGATATGCTCATCATCCAGAACGGGGTCAGCAAACTTTTTCTGTATAGGGCTAGCCAGTGAGTTATCTAGGTTTTGGGGGTAACATTTCGGTTGTATATTTTTCTTTGTTGTTTTTACAGTCCTTTATACATGGGAGAACCATTTTTAGCTTAGGCTATATTAAAACTGGTTGTGGCTTGCATTCAGATTCAGCCTCTGTTTCAGATTTAACAATTATCAGGATTTTGCTACATTTCCTTTCTGTATTTCTTCCTTTTTCTTTGTAAGGTATTTGAAGCAAATTCATTCATTCTTATATATTTTAGTATACATTCCTTAAGAAAATAGACTTTTTTTTTACATAGCCAAAGTGTGATTGTATCAGACAAAATTAACAATTCTTTGGTATCATTTAATATCCATTTCATTATATTGATTTTCAAGTGACCTAACGATTAATACACACAGAAATGCAAAGTACTGAAATATGTTCTTTGTGATTTTGATAGGATTTTAATAAGTTTGCGAAATTTCCATATGTAAATTTATTTTACTTGTATCTTAACACTTGTAAAAATGGAAATTTTTATGAGTTTTGGAAAATATATACAGTTGTTTCAAATCCTTAAATGTCCTTCTCTAATTTTCTTCAGTTTGTAAAATGTAATGGCATCTCACTAAGTTGCAAATCTTTCCTCTTCTAAGTCCTATCTGAAATTGATAGATTATTATCACTACTCTTGGAAAAAGTATTTAAAATGTATTTAAATCTCCCTACCTTTTGACTGCTTTGGTGATCTGTCTTAAAAGAGTAATTGAAATTTTTAGAGATGAGCAGAGAACTGTTGTTCACAGTTAATTTGCATTTTCCAGGACAATCAAATGTCCTCTCTTCTCTCCCTGCTCTTCTATACTTTACTCTAGGTCCTCTCAAAGCATATAAATTACTGAGGATCTTAAAATACAGATTGTAGTTCAGTGAGTCTTTGGTGAGGCACAAATTTGCACATTTCTAAGAAACCCTCTGATGCGGTTGCTCCTGGTCTGTGGACCACACTTGGAGTAGGGAATTGAATCTATTCTCTTTTCACTTCGTGTCTAATCCATCCCCTACCAGTTGCTGGAGAGGTGTTTTTAGTATATTAATGTTATATTACTTACTGCTTATTGCTTAATGGGTAAATTGGTTGACACATTTTGTCTCTCTTGCCGTCTTTTCCTGTCATACTGATTTGGGCATTTCAGGGGCCTGGGGATCTGATGATTTGTGACCACTGTGGGGTTCTTGGCTTGGAGCAGGTAAGAACTCAGTTTCAAGCCAGCATAGACTTTAAAGTGAAAGAGTTTATAAGTGAAGTAGTGAGACAGAGTGGCTACTCCACAGTAGAGCAGCCACTCCCTAGTGGGATTTGCTCCTTTTATTGGAGCTCATTTAATTGGGGGGTAGGGCATTCAATAAGGGGGAAGAATATTCAGGATTTTTCTGGGAAAGGGGTGGAGATTCTTGGGAGAACAGTTGGCCATTTTGTATCCTTATATGGGCTTTGCATTCTGTGTGTGTGGGGGGGGCGGGGTGGTTGTTTAGTATGCTAATGTATTACAATGAGAGAATAATGAGGCTAAGGGTTACTGGAAGGTGAAATTAGTCTCTATGTTGGATGACCTGGCCTTCTGTTGGTTCTAAGCCATAAATCCATTGGGGGTTGGTCCTACTATCTCTCTGATAGTCCTTATATCCCATATTGGTTACATCCCTTTTGCCACATACCCTTTCTCAACATCAGACTAGTTTTAATGGCTCTACCATGCTTAAACACACCCCCATTCCTTTGTGCATGTTGTTCTTGTTACCATTCATATACATAGTAGATACTTAGTAAATATTTATTAAGCATTTTAATAGTAAGATCAGCTAGAACCATAAATTCCTGAGCCTATCTTCCTTCTATTCTTTACCTGAAATCTGTCTTTATCTCTCCTGTTGTAAATCTATATACTATGTCAATGTTACTTTCTCTATGAGTGTTTCACACTATCCCTTATATTTATTTATCCTGTCCCAAATATTTATTGCACACCTATTGTTAACCATTTTATAAGCTTTGTTGTGGGAAGTTGTAATCATAAATGACACAAATTCTGTCTCAATATGAAAATTCTAATATGTGCCCACTATTATCAGATTAATCTTTGTCTAGGTATAGCTCTGATCATTCTGATCCTGTTACTTCTGTTAATAGCTTACTTCTAGTACTAGTACCTATTGATACAATTTCCTTATCTTAGCATTTAGGGATTTCCATAATTTGGGTCCAAGTATATTTTCAATGTTTTCTCCCCTCTCTTGTCAAATTAAGTAATTTACAATTCTTTAAAACTTTCCTTCTGTCAGGA